TTGCTTTTTTGCTAGTCATGTCAAACTGCTGTCTGGAATTTTCTATTCTCCTGTGACCACCCTGTATTATTCCTGTTTCATCGTCACCTCCTCTTGAATTTATTTTCTCCCTATGAATTTATCCTTAAAAAAAGTTATTTTTTTTACTGTCATCTTCGTGGTCAGAAATAAATGCTTCTGTTAGATTCTCTGTGTTTACCAGAAGTTATAGAACTTTCTTTTCAATAATGTTCATTGTTGAATATTCATTACGTTATATATTCCTAGGGCATTTATTGGTAATTACCAAACAAAAGTCATTTTACCCATTTGTGTTGTATAATAAAAATTCCATCTGATGCAACACTAAATCTGCATTATGTTTTTCCTGGGCTGGGTGTTTCTTTTAGGTCAAAGCTGGAAATATTGGTAGGACTCATAAAAGTAAATAGCTATATAGTATTTTTGTGCTTAGCAAAGGCATTTTTATTTTATCTATTATCTGAACTATTAAGCAGTTTCAGTGACCTTCATTTAAATGATTTGAGAATGAGACAGTGAAAGATTTAACAATTCTTTATTGGGATATTGTTGTGGTGCCTAAATTTCAGGTCTATGGAGGAAGTATTTGAAGATTGAGCATGTTTGAAATATTATAGGATGGCCAGGTGCCGTGGCTCATGCCTGTAATCCCAGCACTTTGGGAAGCCAAGGCAGGCAGATGTCTTGAGTCTAGGAGTTTGAGATTAGCTTCAGCAACATGGCAAAATCTCGTCTCTACAAAAAATACAAAAATTATCCTGATCTGGTGACAGGCGCTTGTAGTACCAGCTATTTGGGAGGCTGAGGTGGGAGAATTGCTTTAGCCTGAGAAGTGGAGCTTGCAGTTAGCTGAAATCATGTCACTGCATTCCAGCCTGGGTAACAGAATAAGACCCTGTCTCAACAACAACAACAAGAACAACAACTATATATATATATATACACACACACACATATATATATATATGTATGTATTTCACTTTCTTATGTATATATATGAAAGTGAAATTGAAAGATAGCAATATTTACACAGTGTTTTATCATAATCAAAAATATATCCATGTTAATAGAAGCCTAATTACTGCCATATACTCAAAATACTATTTGGATCTAGTTTTTAATGGAGGTGAAATTCACAGAGCATAAAATTAACCATTTTAAAGTGAACAATTCAGTGGCATTTAATATGTTGACAATGGTGTGCAGCCATCAGTCACCCCACCTTGTTCCAAAACCTTTTTATCACCTTCAAAGGAGACTCTCAAACCAATTAAGCAGTTACTCCTAGACCGCAGCAACCACCGATCTGCTTTCCGTCCTATAGATTTACCTATTCTGGATATTTCATAGAAATGGAATCATACAATATGTGACCTTTTTGTGTCTGACTTCATTCACTTAGCATGTTTTTAAGGTTCATCCATATTGTAGCATGTGTCACTACTTAATTCCTTTTTATGCGTATAGCATGGACATTAGAAAATTTGGTGAGAAAGTATTTCTAATGCAACTGATAAATACAACAAGCCAGAGAAAGCCTTTAAAATACCTAGCATTAGTTATATTTTGTTTTAATACTTTTAAAAAACCTAATTTTGTATGTTTTGATATATTTCTTAATAAGGTATAGGGAGTACTGTGAGTCTGTGGACCAGTTACCATCATAGCATTTCTCAGTTAAAGTCTCTAGACATGTCCCCAACATTATGAGAGAGACTGAGTGGAAGCTATTGGTAAAATAGTACAAAGATATTAGTTGCCATAGACTGTTAACAGTAGAATGAAATGTTAACCTCTGTTATCTGTATTTTCCTTATGTGAAGCTAGTATTTGTTTGTTTATACATATATAGGAACTTTGTCTTTTGAGAAAATTAAATTAATACAGGTAATTCTTGGCTTAGTTAGTAGTAGTGTCTAATATTTAGCTATGTGGTAAAGTTTACTGGTATTAATGTGCCTTCTATTTAATGTATCATTTACCATTTTATTAAGCTAATTAAAAAATAGATTTTCCTTTCTAATAGCTGTGGTACACATAACTTGAGTCTGGTTTGCATTTCTGGAAATCATTTATTGCTACTACATAGAAAAGTCTCAGCGCTGTACTATTGGGATATTTTCTAGGCAGATCAAGTCATGTAATTGCAGATCATATCATACCTTCTCATCCCTTGGAAATGATAGTTACTTATAACTAAAAGTCCACCATTTATATTTGTGCTTAGTAGATGAAATGCTATTGTGCCCACAAATACAGAGGTTGAAATCATCCAGAAAAATAAGTTTGAGACTGATGTGAACACGTCAGGATCCCAGACCAGAGCTGATTATAACAGAAGCTTTGAGGCTTACCTAAGTAGATGATCCTTATAACTGAGATGCATATAGGTATCTAGTTAGTAATTATTAGTCTGTAAGACTTAGCTATACAGGGATTTTGATGATTGTATATATTTATGGATATTTATATTTTTGGTAGCCTCTTGGAAGAAGTTATTTCTCTCACAGTAAGTGTCTGAGACTTCAAAATAATATAATATATCAGCATAAGGAAGAATACATATTTAGTGTTACATTCATGTTATAAAAGAATGTATATTCTTTAATTGCTGATTGTAGCATTCCATATAGTCCTGATAAGATCAAGTTTTAAAATCTATTGTTCATATTTTTAACATCGTAATGGTTTTTGGCTCTGTTTGTTCTATTAGGTACTAAGAGAGGTGTTTTCAAGTTTCCCCCATCATTGTGAATGTGTCCACTTCTCCTGTTAGTTCTGTCAATTTTTGCTTTATGCATTGTTATAGTAAGTATGTAGAACTTTTGAGTGATTACGTCCTTCTGGTGGATTGATCCCTTTATCATGAAATTTCTCTTTCTTTGGTAATGCTTCTTGCTTTAAAGTCTGCTTTGTTTTACATTAGTGTAGCTGCCCTAGCTTTTGTTGGTTTTTGCATAATATACCTTTTCCATCCTTTTATAGTCCCAGTTTTTCTCTTTATATTTAAGATAAGAATCTTGTATGTACCATGTAATTGTATTTTATAATCCAGTTAGTCATCTTTGTCTTTTAATTGGAGTATTTGCTCCATTTCCATTTAAGGAATTACTAATACAGTTGAGTTTGTAAGTTACTATATTTGTTTTCTATTGATTTCACTTGTTTTATGTTTTCTTCTCACCTTCTTTGAGATTAATTAAACATTTTTTTTTGTTATTCTATTTTTGTTTCTCTAAAAGCTTGTTCCATTCTCTTTTACTACTCTTTTACCTGGTACTCTAGAGATGATCACATGGATATTTAGTTTATTAGAGTATAATAAAAATTACTCTTTTTGCCTTTTCACAGACAATGCTAGGATATTAGGATGTATTCTACTCACCTTTTGACTTTTTGTGTTATTGTCATATTTTAATTGAACTCCATATATTTCTTTTTATTAGTAGTATTTCTTAAACTTTTAGGTTCAGCAGTACATATGCAGGTTTGTTACGCAGGTAAACTCAGGTCACGGGGGTTTGTTGTACAGATTATTTCCTCACCTGGCTTCTAAGCCTAGTTTCCAATAGTTAGCTCTTTCTGATCCTTTTTCTCCTCCCACCTTCTACACTAAAGTAGACCCTAGGATTTGTTGAAATGAACTCCTTTTTTTTTTTTTTTTTTGAGACAGAGTCTTGCTCAGTTGCCCAGGCTGGAGTGCAATGGCGGGATCTTGGCTCACTGCAACCTCTGCCTCCTGGGTTCAAGCCATTCTCCTGCCTCAGCCTCCTGAGTAACTGGGACTACAGGCACATACCACCATGCCTGGCTAAATTTTTTTGTATTTTTAGTAGAAATGGAGTTTCACCATATTGGTCAGGCTGGTCTCAAACTCCTGACCTTGTGATCCGCCCACCTCGGCCTCCCAAAGTGCTGGGGTTACAGGTGTGAGCCACCTCGCCCAGACTTCTGTCTTATTTTTACTTCTTTGAAGGTAATGGGCCTTGTCTGGATGCTTTTAGGTTTTTCTGTTTCTGGTTTTTAGCAATTTTGCTATGAGTGCTGAGAGCTGGTTTTCTTTGTATTTATCCTACTTGGGATTTGTAGCCCCTCTTAAATTTGTGATTTGAGTCTTTCATTGTTTTTGGAAAATTTCCAGCCCTTAGCTCTTCAAATGTTGCATCTGCCACATTCTTCGTTTCTCCTCAGCAGGTTTAATTTATGTGGAGATTTAAGTTTTCTATCCTTTTTTTGCTTTTGTCCCTTCAGTTTCTACATTTTCTACTTAACTATCCCTGCTTCACTAATTCTCTTTCCATCTGTGTACAAAAGACAGTTTTAAAACCTATTTTTGAGGTCTTAATTTCATTTATTTATATTTCACTTCTAGGCTTTTCCATTTGATTATCTTTAAATAGATAACAGACAGTGAAATTACTCATTTCATTATCTGTTTGGATATATTAATTACAGTTATTTTAAAGTTCATGCCTGATAACTCCCATACTGAACTACTTTAGGTCTGTTCCTGTTTCTATTTCTTGATATGTCTGGTAATATTTGGTCAAATGCCAGGTATTGTGTATAAAAACTTGCAGAGGCTCTAGGTATCTTCCCTCATGGAAGATTCATTTTATCCTCTGATAGGCTTTTAGAGTAGGGCAGATTGCCCCAGTCCAGAGAGGCACTGAGTTGCCTTAAGGTAGGGTTGCAAAATGTGTGAAATCTCTTTTAACTCTTTGTTCACCCCTCCTTGCTTTCTAAGCTGTAGCCCTCCAGAAGTCACAACTGAAGGCCTAGGCTCCTCCTCTCCTCAGCACCACAGGACTACCAGAAATTCCTGTTTCTCACTTGTTTATTTTTTTGTTTTGGTTATTTTGCTGCTTTATGCTTTGATTTTTAGCTTCTTGTATTATGTAATTTAAAAAATTGTCAAATGTCTTTAAGGTAAAACTGTCAAGTGTTGAGGTCACATCTCTGCAACTCCCTTCTTTCAGGAACCTTGGCAGCTCTGAACTTCAGTTTTTGCCTCCAATCCTTTGAAATTGCTGACAGCTCTGATGACTTCTCTGCCTCTAACAGCTGCCCTTGCTTGGCCTGGGTTCCACTGGACTTTGCTCCACGTACCTTTTTTTCTTTGCTGATTTTGCTTTGTATCCTTTCACTGTAATAAGCTGTAACTGAATTTGACTGTGTGCTGAGTCCTGTGAGTCTTCCTAGCAAATCACTCCCTACAGTGGTCTTCGGACCACTGATAAGCATGTTCATTCTGAATTTCTGTTAAGATTGGTTGTCCCAGAGATTCTAATGTTCTGCTGAGAATGATCAGAGACAGATAGTACTGTGATCCTTTTATGGATGTGTGCAGCTGAGGCTCAGAGGGAGAAATTTACTTGAGGCCATCCATCTAGAAATTCCTGTCAGAATCAGGAATTGGATTGAGGTCTAACTCTAAAATTCCCATTCCTTTATTGTATCTTGTATCCTCCAAGTATATAACCAAAATTACTAAAAGATAATGGTTTCAATTTTTGAAATGCTCTTGTATAATTTGGATAATTTAATCATTTAACACTTACATTATGTGTAAGTAATGTTTTAGATCAATGACAAAATAAGTTGGTGCTTAGTGACATAGTTAATTGCTGCTTCCCAAAGCCAGCTTAGTCATACAACTGCTCCTTGACTTACAGTGGGATTATGTCACAATAAACCCACCGTAAGTTGAAAATACTATAAGTTAAAAACCTATTTTCTACACCTAACTACTAAACATCACAGCTTAGTCTAGCCTACATTAAACATACTCAGAACACTTAAACAGTAGCTTGCAGTGGGCAAAATCATCTAAGGCAAAGCCTGTTTTATAAATAAACTGTTGGATATCTCCAGTAATTTATTGAGTATTATACTGAAAGTAACAAAACAGAATGGTTTTGTAGCACTGTCAAGTCAAAAAATTGTAAATGGAACTATTACAAGTCAGAGGCTGTCCATATTTTTTTTTTAAACAAAAGTACAAATAAATTAGCAATTTTTTTTTCAAATAGAAAAATATTCTCGTTGGATATTTTGTATGCTATTTCTTTGTGTGTATGCATGTATGTCTATGTGCTGTAGCCATTTAAACCTGACAAAAATTGTTACTTGCATTTTCTCTGGATAACTTTGTTTACTTTGTGATATTTGGGAGATGTTATATTTATCTCTCACAAGATAGGAATAAAATTTTATAAATTATATAAATGAAATACCTCTGGTATTTGTACAAATAGAAAGATTTTCTTTCACCCTAAATCTGACATTTCAATACAAGAAAATAAGATACAATCAGCAATTCACAAATTGCTGATAATTTAGACAATGGCATATTTTTCTGTGCATCATTTTCAAAAAGTTTTCCCTCATGATATTCCAACTCCATGGGCAGTGGTTTGCTTTCATTGTGCCTGTTGTAGGTCATGGAGCTGAAGATCTACATTCTGGTGTCTTGGATGGCAAATGAGCTCTTATGGAAAGAGCCTATATTTGAGAGAGATGGTGAATTTTTTAGGTTTATTTTTATTTTATGCTTAATAGCTTAACATGAGGGTAGCCAGAAAACTTTCTGAATCTGCATAAAGCAAAAGTTTTTTTCTGTTCTCTTTAGAAATCAGTTGGAATTATAAACCTTTTCTGCATCATAATGACACCATACAGCAGAGAATTTCAATGCATTCATCCTGTGAGAAAGGCTCTTTGGGTGACAGTTTTGATGTTTTTCTTTAAGCAGCATAAACAGGATTTGGTTTTGGGCTAAAATACTGTTTTCTTTAGAATGAAATGTTTCTGAATTGCTTTTGGCTTAGTCTATTCAGAGTAGAAGGAGAAACGTTAAGGCAGGTGTACATAGGGCAGCTGTCAGAGGAGGAAGCAGAACCAGGCAAAAGGAGTAAACATGTGAAAGAAATGGGGGAAGCCAGGAAACAATGGCATTAAAACAAAGTAATCATAATGGGAAATCATTAAGTACGTTAGACTTTCTTTTTCTTATGAGTGTAAGAATTTTTGGACTCTTACCTGCTTATGTAAAGCGATTATTTTATAACCTTAGGGCGAGTGTCCTTGAAGTCTTTTTTTTTAAGTGAAGGTTTTGTGAGAATCATAGGAAATAATGTCTATGAAAGCATTTCCTAAGTTGTAAACTGCTCAAAACCTATGTTGAAATTATTAATAAAAGCAAAGATGAATTGCTGTGATTGGTCTTGTGCCTCAAAGTTCGTTCACTAAAGTAAAATCAGTGGGATGAGGTAATAGAAAACTTGAGGATTTCATCAACCTCAAGGCTTTTCATAGAGTTTAGCAAACGTTTGTTGAGGTGCCTGCAATGTGTCATGGCCTTCTGGAAGCTGACAGGAGGTACTCAGATGGGCAAGTCACAGTTCTTGATCTTAAAGGTGCTTGTGATTTAGTACTGAGAAGATATGCACACAAATGAGTGGTTTCAATTGCATACAAAAAGTGATCAGATAGAATGTACAAGGTGCAAAGGGAATATAGAGAAAGGACATATATCCTAAGATGGGCTTTAAGGAAAAACATCTGAAGATGAGACTGAGGTGTGTTTTGCACAAAGAATATTTAGAAGAAAGATGTGAAGTATACCTGCATTTGTCCTTTACAAAAGTATTCCTTCATAGCAACTGGATACTTATAAACTGAGACTGGATTATTTATAAAGAAAAGAGGTTTAACTGGATGATCGTTCTGCAGGCTGTACAGGAAGCATGGTGCCGCCGTCTGCTTGGCTTTTGGGAAGCCTCAGGGTGCTTTTACTCATGATGGAAGGCAGAGCAGGAGCAGACATGCCACATGGCGAGGGGGGAAGTGCTACAGTCTTTTAAATAACCAGATCTTGCATGAACACAGTGAGAATGCACTCATTACCATAACAAGAGGCACAAAGCCATTCATGACCCAAACACCCCACCCCCAGGCCCCACCTCTGACATTGGGTATTACATTTCAACATGAGATTTGGAGGAGACACACATCCAAACCATATCAGTACCTATGCAGAGGAAACAGTGCTGGCGAAGGCTTGCAATATGAAATGCGAGGCGTGGAGTGGTCAGGATGTTGAGTGGCAGGACTTGCTTGTAGAGAACTTTGGTGAGTGATACCTAGCATACTGGAAGAAGATTGGGCTTGGTGGGGAGAACAGTGAGCTCTCCAGATGCTACATTTGAGGTGCATGTGAGGCAGTCATGGGACTATATCTGGCAAGTCCATGCATGTGCAGAAGTTCAGTAGAGAAATTGGGGCCAGAAATTTGGATTTGGAAATAATCAGAATACAGATTAAAATAGATGAACTTGTTCAAAGAGGGCATGCTTATAAGAGCTGTTGGCTAAGAAAGGATTTTTATAAATACAGTGCCTAGGTTTGAGGAGCACATGGTCACCATTGAGAAGGGACAGAAAGGAATTAAGCAAACTAGAATAGAAGGGTATCAGAATTTTCACCACAATTTTACTAGCGGTGGAGAGAACTAGTAAAAATGGACTGAAAAACGGTGATTGGAATAGGAGTCTGGTTTTAGTGGAATGTTGGGAGTTGTAATTTTTTGTTTTTCTCTTTCCCCTATCTCAGTATTTATTCTCCTAGCTCCTTCCAGATCCCCTGATACCTTCTCTCTATTCTGTGTCTTCTCTCTCTCTCTCTCTCTCACACACACACACACACACACACACACACACACACACACACACACACACTTGTGCATACCTCTTTCCCTCGCTAACTTCCTCCTCTTTGCACACTCAGCCTGACTAATGTGCCTGAGCTAGCACGGGTGTCCTCCTCACGATAGCTTGATGTGCTCCGTATACTTCAATTCTAATGTAGACCTTAAAGAAGCTGTGCCTAGGAACATGGTTTTATTAGGACCTGGAGAAGCAAGAGTCAAGTGTTAGGGCCAGTGTGGGTTACAGGAGTGGCGTCAGAGGAGTGGACTAGTTCCATACTCTTATTCCACACCCTTATCAGAATGGGTGATTTCAGGACACAAATGGAGTTCTTCTCATAGTCATGATGAATGAGCCAAGATCAAGAACTGACATATTTCTGAGAATTCCTTGTGAAGATGCTTCTTTTGACATCTTCCTGAGAATTCCTTGTGAATATGTTTCCTTTAATTTTCCAGTTACTTGCCTTTTGTCTTAAAAGTGCACATTAACACCTGATACCAGCATCACTCTAAGATTCCTTACTGTCAAGCTTATTTAGCTCCATCCTGGGCATCCTTCTTGCTCCTAAATCATACTTCTCTCATTCTGTTTCCTCACTGACTTCAGCTTATAGGACTAGGTTTTTTCTGTACACTCCTTTTGTTCAAATTGATTAACGCTCTAATATTCAGTTTCCCAAGTAGAACTAGATCCTTACTCTGGTCCCAGTGCAGTGGCTGGGCTCCCAGCAACCAGATTCACTTCTGCCAAGTCTGTTTTCAGATTGGGGGAAAGGTGGGCTAGAATTCTGCTGCCATGGATCTCCTGAACAATGCGTGCTTCCCTGCCCACCTATCCAACACATGGATTTTGTGTTCTTCCTACCTGTTGGGAGACACTGGCCACTTCTTGTCTGTCTGGAAGCAGCCTCTATAGTTCTGGGTGGTTTCCCCAGCTCCTGTGCTGGCACAGTGCATAACTTTTTAGTACCTGTCTCTTCCTCACATTTCCATTATCATTTCTTCTTGTTATGACTGTCTCCAGGAAGAAGGTATGTCGCAAGAGAAGATTTGTCTTTTCTTACTTCCCTCTTTCCCCCTTCTTTGCTTCAGCTGATTTTCCATTTATTCTTAGAATCACCTGGGACACCACTAAGAATTTGAAATACAAACTCAGGAAGGAAGAATGAATTATTATATTTCAAAAGAAACATGATAAGTCATTTTAAAAGGTCAAATAAGGTTGAGCACAGTGGCTCATGCCTGTAATCCCAGCACTTTGGGAGGCTGAAGCAGGCGGATCATTTGCGATCAGGAGTTCGAGACGAGCCTGGCCAACATGGTGAAACCTCATCTTTATTAAAAATACAAAAATTAGCCAGGCATGATGGCAGGGGCCTGTAGTCCTAGCTACTCAGGGGACTGAGGTGGGAGAATCGCTTGCACCCGGAGGCAGAGGTTGCAGTGAGTCGAGATCATGCCAATTGTACTTCAGCCTGGGCAACAGAAAGACTCTGTGTCAAAAAAAAAAAAAAAAAAGCCAAATAATCATTTACTTTAATCTAACTTGTTTCTCTAAAGACCTAACAGATTCATACTAAATATTTTAGTCGCAAATTAAAAACGGTGAAATTGTTCTTGCGAGTGTTAGGTATGTCGTGAAGTCTCACATAATCCTCCAAGCCACTCAGCTTGATTTATTTGGACTAGTCTATCATATTGCAAGCTCTGAACTTTTAAGAGGAAGTTTGCTACATTAGAGCAAGGTGGTTTTGCAATGCATTTTTCTCTTTAATGAGCAAGATTAAAGCAATTATAGTAAAAAGATATTCTTGCCAGATGAGTCTTGCATTCTCTTCTCAGAAAATTAGAACCATATAATCTTATTAACTTTCCCATCCCACCTTAACTTTCAGATATCTGAACTGAATTTAATACTCAGTTGCAGGAATTCTCTCATTTTAGGTGCCTAATTACTGAACTGAATTTAATACTCAGTTGCAGGAATTCTCTCATTTTAGGTGCCTAATTACATCTGCTTCTCTCTTATTTTAACAGATTCTTGTACCCTTTTTACTGTCTGATTTTATAGGTTTTAATTGCATCAGCGATAGGAAATCCTTTTTGGAAACAGGTGGGAAATAAATAAACATACATCCATATGAAATTAAGGTAGATTTGGTCACTACCTTAGAGATTTTGAAATGTTTCTGTAGTGTTTCTTTGATATTGTGTGTTATATAGAAATCTCACAAATGGGGAGAAATCAGAATAATGTGATATTTTTCTTGTTTTGTTGTTTTTTGTTTTTTTGTTCTTTTCGTTAATGTGATATTTTTCTAGGAAAGAATACTTTACAGAACCTAGTAGAAACGTTGTCTCAGTCCCAAACAACCTGCTTCATGAAATATTTAGAAGCACTTAGTGCTTTTAAGCAAATGTCTTATTCTGTGTCCTTAGGGAAAGTAATTAATCTGGGTATGGAGTGTTCACTTGTTTTTCGTTTTTATTCTCGACCTACGGAAACTGGGAGGGTGGGTATATGGGCTGTTTTTTATGGCAGCTAATCACTTTATAGAATTAGAGTGAGTGGTTTTAGTGTATTACTCAAGAAGCCAATTAAATGCTCACAGTTTCTTGTAAGGACTATTCAAATCATATGTTGCCTGCTTTACAGTGACAAAGTAGAATTTAAAAATAAATCTTAGCTTGCAAATTGATGAAATCTTTCAAAGAAATAACCTGATGAGAGAGTTCATTTTTTTTAAGGTACCTAATTTTAGGATATTTATTGATACTCTTGTAATTAATAATTCACGTTTCACTGCTTATTGTCAATACAAGGAACTTTCACCTATTATAAATCTCAACTTGTTCATTTGGATAAGATTTTTAAAGTGAATGCAGCTTATATTATATTGGAATCAAAGTTCAGTATGGTGAAAGAATCCTATATTAGGGCCTTAAAACATAACAAAGTCTTGTTTGTTCTATGTGTTTTGGCTACAGCCCTACCACTTACGTTTTGGATGAAGATGAACCTCGATTCCTTGAAGAAGTTGATTACAGTGCAGAAAGTAATGATGAGTTAGATATTGAGTTGGCTGAAAATGTGGGAGATTATGAATCTTCTGCTCAAGAAGAAGTACTTTCTGACTCTGAATTATCAAGAACATACCTACCCTGAGCCCACTGCCATCTCTTGTTAACCACAAAGAAGAAATGAAATATCTTGGTTTTTATTACACAGGAAGTTTGAGAGAAATGAGTTTATACAGAGCTGACTCAAAAAGTTACTTGGGCCGGTTTGGTTTCAAGACAATAAATATGTTATTCATTAATGATAAAATTGGCGCTTGTTTTATTTTAGATATTCAGTGCACTTTATGTAGCATTGAATGAACAAATATTGGATTTACTTAAAAAAAACCCCTGAGTATCATTGCATGAATTTTTATCTCCTGATGGTTATATCCTGCATCAAATGGGTAATTTTGAAGTGTGTTCAGAATGTAAAATTGAAATTTTAGA